TATGAGTCTGTTGTGGGTAGTTTGATGTATGCAATGGTGTGTACAAGACCAGATATAGCACATGCTATTGGTACAGTCGGTAGATTTTTGTCAAATTCAGGTAGAGAACATTAGAATGTTGTAAAATGGATTTTAAGATATCTTCGCGGTACTACTTCTATGAGGATTTGTTTTGGAGGAGATAAGCCTACTCTAGTAGGATACTCTGACTCTGATATGGCTGGAGACGTTGATTCCAGAAAGTCCACTTTGGGCTACATACTTAAATTTGCAGGGGGAGTTGTGGCTTAGTAGTCCATATTGAAAAAGTCTGTAGAATTGTCAACTATAGAGGATGAGTTTATTGCCATTAACGAAGCATGCAAAAGTTACTATGGTTGAAGAAGTTTTTGCAGGAGCTTGGTTTTGTTCAGTACAAATATGTGTTATTTGTTGATAGTCAAAGCGCTATTAATCTTGTTAAGAATCCGACTTTTCATAATAGGTCCAAACACATTGATGTGAGATATCATTGGATATGTGATATTTTGGATGATAAGTTATTGGAGTTATCTAAGATTCATACAGATGATAATGTTTCTGATATGATGACTAAAGCCTTAACAAGAGGAAAGTTTGAAGCTTGTTGTGATATCGTCGGTTTGGTGATTTCCTCCACATAGTTATAAGGGGGAGATTTGTTGGGTTTGGGTTCTATTCCTATATGGAGAAAGACTCAAATATGAATATATCATTTGTATCACTTATATAAGTGGAGAATGTCAATTTAGGGATAAAATAGATAGAGAGAAAATAAGGATTTAAAAGAGAGAAAATATGAGAGAAACTCATTCCCGTTTTTTCTGCAACAGTCTCACTAAAATGACGATCTCTGATTCGCTCACCATATGATCAAGCTCAAATTCAACGTGCTTGTTTGCAATACATATATATAACTTTTGACCATTGGGATTTTCAAAATAATGTCTGAGTTGAGAGATATCGACTTCGCACTGAAACTGTAGATTTGGGAAAAATTTCAGCTTTTTTATTCTTATTTGTAAGTTAGTTTGCTTTGTGATTTGCGGTTGTTATCACTATTTTATGAATCACTTTAAGACTATCTTGTATCCTCAATTGATTATAGTGGAGCTATTTTTCTTTGGTCTGGACGACTCGTGGTTTTTACTCTCATATTGAGGAGTTTTCCACGTTAACAATATCAGTGTTCTTTTGTGCCTTTATTGTTCGGTTGTCGGCTTATATTTGTTATTGATCCTCAAGATTCCTACAAATTTTGGAAATATTATATCCACTGCATATTAGTCTATTATTGTGTCTTAATTTCCCATCACATATTAGAAGTCTAGTGTACGCAATAGTATGTACAAGATCATACACTGACTATGGAATGAGAGTTGTTAGTAGATTTATATTGAATCCATGTAAAACTTATTTGGGAGTAGTTAAGTGAATTTTGAGGTATCTACGAGGCACTACTAAGAAATATTTGTATTCGGGAAAAGGAGAAATAAAAGTAGAAGACTACGTTGATGCAAACTTTGTCAGTGATGTAAATCACCGAAAAAGTGAAACTGAATATATATTTATTATTAGTACTAGAGCCGATAGTTAGATATCACAGATAAAAATATTATTGATTTATCCACTATAGAGACTGAGTATATAACACTAATATAAGTTAATAAAGAATTGATATGGCTTCAAGGATCATTAACATAGTTGGGTTTACATAAGAGAAAAATATTTTGTACACTGATAGTCAAAATGAAATACATTTAGAATTGAACATTTCATTCAAGAACAAAAGCACACTGATCTTAGTTATCACTTTATCAAATATCTGCTTGAGGATGAGGTGCTAACATTGAGCAAGATTTAAGAAAGTGAGAGCTCAGCCAACCGTTAACAAAAGTGGTGACAATTTACAAATTAAAGGTGTACTCAACTACAATTGACATGTTAGAATAACATACTAATAAAGGTTGATGTTTGATCGAGGAATGAAGACTGATTAAAATTAATCATAAAGTGAGAGATTGTTGATAAAAAAGAGAGAAACAAAGAGAAACAATTAAAGAAATAAAAATATGGATGATATATGGAAATTCAAGGATAGAATATATGGAGAGAGAAAGAGAAAACTTTTGATACATCATAACCCAAACTATAAAAACAATGCTTATCTCATTTGTAATAACCAAGCAAAATTACAACTAACGAGATTCATTCAATAAAGGAAGAGAAAAAAAGTTATAGTAAGAAAATTTTGTGAGAAATATTTAAAGAAAAATATCTTTGGGTGTAATTTGATTTAAATTTTGTGAGAGAATAATTGTTATTACACACTTAAAATATTTCACTTTTTATTAGTTTTTATTGTATTTCTATATTATTTTGTAAATTTTGCAATATTTTCTAACAATGAAATGATTTATTTTGCAGGGTTTCAACTCCCAACTCTGATTGTCATCATATATTTAAATTGCATGACATGGTTTATTGTGGATTGGTTTGACTTTGATTGTCATCATATATCTAATTGTATTGATTGTCATCATGTATTAATTTGCATGATAAGATTTATTTGAGAAATTAAGATGCCACCTTCTATTTTATATATACGTCCCTCACTAAATTTTAATCTTTTTAAATATTTTTTTACTATTTATTCTAAATAAAAAATTTATCAAAAAAATTTATTATTGACTAAAGAAATAATTTTTGAAATTTCCAATACTCTTAACAAATTTTCTGTACCAATGTCCGTTGCATACTGAAAATTCTTTACGTTCTAAAAATTTTCGGTAACGATATATTAGAAATTTTGAAATTTTCGATTACGATTTATTGGAAATTTAGCAAATTTCTAGTAGAAAACTTTTATTGGAAATTTCAAATTTTCGGTGTATCCGAAATTTCAGTTAAATTTCAAATTTCCGATTTGTATTTAGAATAAAAAAATTCCGGAAAATTTGAAATTTCCAGTATTTTTCATACACCAGAAATTTTAAATTTCAGATTTGTTATTTTAATGATGGAAAATACCAAAAATTTGAAATATCTGATATAAGGAATTTCAAATTTCCGATAACAAGCAAATGGCATGGTAAAAACTTGGAAATTTCCAGTATTTTACGCGAAATTTCTGATACGGAACCAAAATTTTTTAAAATTCCGGTATATTTCAGAGACATTTTCGTAACTGCGTCATGTCTAGGGAGTGACATATATAAAATGAGGGGTGAAATGTTAACTTCTCGACGTATTTTATGCATTGATTTGAATGCATTGGTTCAACTTTGATTATCATTATATATTCCTCCGTTCTATAATGAGTAAATTCATTTAGAATAAAATAGTGTTTAAAAATGAATGACTCATTTCAATTTATAATACATTTTGTTTTAATTCTACCTTCTAATTAATTAAACTTTAATCATTTCTAATACATGATTAGGACTACTATAGTAAAAATATTATTCTCTCTTTTATTTTTTTACACTTTTCTTAAAATATGTGAAATAATGAGTTGAATCATTCATTGTGAGACGGAAAGAATATTTAATTTGCAGTTTATTGTACATTGGTTCCACTATGATTGTCATCATATATCTAATGTCGTGTTGTGCACTAGTTCAACCCATTGTCATCATATATCTAAGGTGCATTATATCATCTAATTCAAAATTCTAAACAATTCAAATGAATTAATTAAAATTCATTCATTTAAAAAAATTGTTTGGATGAAGTACTAAAGTGATTCATTATTAAAATTGAGATTATTTTTATAAATTTTTAAACTTTTAGGGCAAATTTAAAATATAAAAAATAGTAATCAATTTGAATTTTTAAAAAAATTTAAAGAAACCAATTTTTAAAATTTAAAAAATATTAAAGACTTGTTTGCAATTTTTTTGAGAGTTTTGAGGATAAATTTAAAATTTTCATTAAATATGAGAAGCATCTTACAAAATTTAAAAATTAATAATAACAATTTAACATTTGCATTATACATAAAAAAAAATTAATTTCAAATTCTTTACTTATAATCAAATATTTGAGCTCTAGTAAAAAAGAAACTCTCTAAAGACGAATCGTTCAGATACTACCCGAGATCTATTATGTAGAAGTGATTGACTAAATCCAAGAAAAAAAACTTTACTTTATAATATCATTTGAAATTTCTTAAATTTAACTTGAATAAAATACAATAAACTTAATTCTCCATATCTTTTTATCGAAATAGATATTAGTTGAGTCATTTTAAATTCCCTCAAAAATTTGTTTTTACTCTTTAAAATCTTCATCCAAACACATGTTATTTTGAGTGAAAAAATTAAAGGTGATATGCCTTTCAAAACTACTGTATATTAACATAAAATATCGGTGAACCTACATTCGTTGCTTTTACTTGCCAAAAAATTGGAAGAAAAAAACACTGATATCTCTCCACCAAACCAAGACCTCATCGTTATAATTTCAATTTTGAAACAAAAGCATCAATTATGTCCATAAAAGATTAGCAACAAGGTGAAATCCATATCCCTATTTTATTCAAATAGAATCCACATATATCCTAACAGGGCAATTAGAGCAACAAAACTAGGATCTCTCTTCAAAATATTGTAGCATATCAGAATAAAGGTAAAATCTAAAAACTAGATATAAACGAATCTATCTAAACTTGCTTTCAATTCTCCACAGTAACTTTAACAGATTGTGAGATTTAGATACATAGTGGTCTATACTAATGCTATACTGTTGGAAGCTATCCAACCATTTAAGAAGTAATACAAGGTAAGGCTCTCCACCACAAAAAAAAAGTTTTAAGGTAAGGGCTTACCTATATATGCATCAACCATAGTTTGATACTTAAGAATCTTAGCATAATTTTAATCATGGAAGAAGAATAGAGTTATCTTACAAATCTATTGTTACAAGTTGGAGCAAGTGTGCTCCATCTGATGTAGTCTCCTTCTGTAAGGAGTTATTTGCTGTTATCCTTGCTTTGATAACGGCGCACTAGTACCGGTAGTTGCGGAGTTGTTAGCAGCCATTGGATTCAGCGATGGTGCATCCTCAGATTTCTTGTTGAGGTTATATGGTGCTGCACTCGTCACCCTGCATGGATGGAAACACCTAAGAATCTTAACTATCTTTCAGCTGATTTTGATGATACTAGATATATAAAACTATTGTGCAAGGGGTATTGATAAGCATTATTGACGATAAAAGTTAAAAACCATAAAAATGAATCTTACAATATGCGTTGGCCTAACCAAGCCTTATAAAACATGCTTGTAATGTGAGAGTCTCCCTTGTAAAGACTTCTTCGGATCATATCATAGCAGACGTGGAACATAACACGCCCCCTTACACCTAAGACTATACATTAGGGGCAATTACCTGAGTGGTCTATAACGAGTAACCCGAGGGATTTTGAATGGGCTTTGAGACTATCTTTTTATTTGTGTTGGCAGCTCAACCTTACAAAATCTACTTGTAAGGATGAGACATCCCTCCCACTTATGAACAACATTTTAGGCCATATCATATCTGATGTAAGACTCTCAACAATTAAAGGTAATAATGAGAAACAGAAATCATATATTAGAACTAACCTTTCCTTTCGCTTTTCCAAAAATCGAGCCAATGATGCTTTGCGAGCCTGCGGTATAGCTGCATAAAATATTATATGTCAATTCCATTAAAATCATGAAATACAAATACCAGTGACAATGAAACATACTACAGATATCCCCAAAAACAGAAGAATGTGAAGTGAAGTAACATCAAGTAGCAAGAAACTACATCGTTACATACCTGATGGAAACATGGTGGTTGCATTGACTCCTTTTGGAGTCTCCACTTTGCTAGCAGAAGTGGTAGGAGTAGGGCCTCTGGATGTTTTAGCAGTCAGGAATTCATCACTGCAAACTGAGTCACTCCCTGACTGTGGACCAGTATATGAAGAAACAGATAAAGGACTTGAAATAGCAGAGAAGGGTGGTATATTTACAGGTGGACTCATAGGCACGCCATCATCATCTGATGCAAACTTTGAGCTAGGTGCCTGAACTTCAGATTGAACCATGTTTGACGCTGCTGATATGCCATTTCCAGCCAACAACATGATGGCTTGTACCTGAAAATTTTCTCAAAACTTTAGCCTAACTTCTGTTAAAATCAAACAATGTCCTGTCTGGATAAACAAAGTAATTAAGCCTTGATCATATAAATACATATGTATAAGTTTGCTAGGGGACCTATAATAGAAGTTGTTTTCATAAACATCCACAAGAACTTATCATAACTTGTTTCAATAAACTCTCCAAACAGTCTCACTCCGACACGTCAATTAGAAGGCGTGTCCCCGCACCGGACATGTATCAGATACGTTTTTGAAATGTCCAACAAAAAAATAAATTGAAATGCAACGGACACAGATACAACACACTATTTCAAATAACGGACACGTCGACCTCTCAAATTTTAAGAATTAAAAAAAAAACGTTTTTTACCTTTCATATTCCACTTTCCCACTATAAAAACAACTCGTATTCCTTGTTTTTTTATCTTCTCTTTTTGTTTTCCTCTTCTTTGTTTGTTTTCATCTTCGCCACACGCCGGTATTCCATCTTCGCCACCGCCGGTATTCCACTCTTTCTCTTCCGATACTCATTCCTTTTCTTTACTTATTATTTGTCTTTGTTTCCATTTTCTGTTGTTAATTACATATGTCGGCGACGGCGCTTCACTCATGTTATTATTTGTAAATTGTCTATGTTTTTTGTTTATTACAGAAATGTTATATGTTAATTACATATATTATATGTTATTTGTCTTTGTTTCACTCATGTTATATGTTAATTACATATAACATATAACTTGTCTTTGGATGAGCCAGACTTAGAGACATGTTTTCTCAATGTAGAGTGACTATGATATGATTTGTATCATGTTGTTTTACATAATTTTTCTTAATTGAAAGTATTCAATTTAAGTCTTTTTTTAATTGATTGAAAGTACTAAATTTAAATAAATATAACTTTTAGTTCTCATTTTAGAGTCTTCATAAATTGTGCTCATGAATTGTATTGTTTTATTAATATATAAAATATATATAGCTGTGTCCGTGTCCTATGTTTTTTACATTAGCGGTGTCCTCGTGTCCGTGTCGTATCCCATGTCCGTGCTTCATACTCTCACAAATACTTATGCCAATAAACAGACAAAAATAAGTCAATCCAAACAGAAAAGGAAAATATATATGAGAAAAATACCTTCTCAGGAGTGATATCTTTGAAGATGTTCACGGTACCCGGCATAGAACATGGTAAGTTGAAGAGGAGCAGGTGCAGATGGTTTTACACTGTTGAATAATCATATACAATCACAGACAAAAAAGTTAGTTGCATTCAAACCACTTGTCCTAAAAAACAGTTAAAGCATTGAACTAAAATTACCATGGTTCAACCAAACCAGCAATAGCACCAAGCCTTGGAAGAACTGAATGAGGTGCAGTTAATGGTGATCCCGCAAGTATTGGTTGCTTCACATTAGCACCATTCATATTCTGACCAACAGGTGAAAAATGATTCTTAAGGAACGGATGTCCTGCTGCTTGATTGGAAACTGAAAACATCTCGGCGTCATGAGGACGATGCACATCATGTTGTACAGGATACGGATTCATGGAAAAATGAATGCCGCCTTGTCCGTCATGTTTGAAAGATTTCTAAATAGTAAGAACAACAACGGATGGGAGGAGAATTAATAATGATATGTTGCAAAAATCAACTTCATATGAAACATATCTCAAAAAGACTAGTATAAATAATTAACAATTTTGAACAAACCTCTATGAAACCAGATGCCATTTTAGCCTTATCTTCTTCAGAACCATTAAAATGCATCGAATACGGATGAGTCGAGACTTTGTTAAAATACGGCCATTTAACTGCTGAAACGTTTATAAATCCTGCACATGACCACAAAGGAACCATCAACATAAGCTACAACAACTTGGTAAAATTCAAGGATGAATTTTCAACTTCACATGTTAAATTTCACTTTCATGACACCTATATGTGAATCTGTACTGTGAGGATTTCAAATTTCAAGCTTAAAACCTAAATCAAATAATACAAGTAAAGAACTTCAAAATGATTAATTATACAAAATTGCAACAAATTTCAAACACAAACCCCAAAAAGAAGTTAAAAATATCTATAATTAGTGTGATAACCAAACAAATTTAGCAACGTGTTCAATTATTAACTACTTTGACCTAAACCAGACCAAAATTGAAGCTGAAAAACATAAAATAAAAATTAATAAAAAAAAAGAAGAAGCATAGTTCATGAATGAACCTGAGTCTTTGAAAGGTTCATTGTTAATTTCTTGATTTGAGCATAGACTCAAGAAATCTCTTTCCATTTTTTGAAGAGAGAAAATGAAGGAAGCAATGAAAACACAGTTTCAATTGTAACTCAAATGTCGTTTTCTTTTGCCAAATACACAAGCAAAAGCAACCTCTCTTCCAAACACAACACAACAAAAACACCATAAACATATAACACACCTCAAATACTCAAATAATAATACCTCAAATAATAATAAAAATAATAATAATAATAATAATAATAATAATAATAATAATAATAATAATTATTATTATTATTATTATTATTATTATTATTATTATTATTAAAATAATAATTATATAATAAATATAATAATAAATATAATAATAATAAATAATAATATAATAATAATAAATATAATAAAAATAATAATAATTATTATTATACTAATTATAAATATTATAATAATAATTATTATTATTATTATTATAAAAAGTATTATTATTATTATTATTATTATTATTATTATTATTATAATTATAATAATAATAATTAAAATTTTAATAATAATAATTATAATAATTATAATAATAATTATATTATAATAATTATTATAATTATATTATTAATAATAATAATAATAATGATTATAATAATAATAATAATATGAAAATATAATAATTATTATTATTATTATTATTATTATATTATTATTATAATAATAAGAATAATAATAATAATAATAATAATAATAATATTATATAATAATATAATAATAATAATAATAATAATAATAATAATAATAATAATAATAATAATTATAATACTTATAATAACTGTGGCCCATAGCATGCTGCAGTACTATCTATAAGATAATCTCAAAAATTCTGACTTCAAGACTTAGCAAAGTCATTAATATTGTGATTGATGACAATCAAGCTGCTTTCGTTCCGGGGAGAGTGATTCATGACAACATCATGATTGCTCAGGAACTTTTGTGAGGCATAGTATGAAGCATATCTCCCCTCGTTGGTCATTCAAATGGATATTCCAAAAAGCCTACGACACGGTTTGAATGGTCAGTGTTGGAGGTTATTATGCGCGAGATGAACTTCCCTGCCCAGTTCATTTTGTTGGACTATGTTGTGTGTTGAAACTGTTTCGTATCGTTACTGTACTAATGGACACGTTACTGAAGCCTTGAAAGCACGGCGTGGTCTGAGACAGGGGGTCCTATTTCCCCCTTGATGTTTGTTTTGATTAGGAGTACCTCCATAGGTGTCTCCGGAAACTTGGAAATATCTCAAACTTCAATTTTCATCCAAGATGTGAAAGGCTGTAGATTGTGAATATATCTTTTGTTGATATTTTGGTTCTGTTTTCGAGGGGTGATGATACTTCAGTACAACTCTAGAAGTTAATTGGGGGAGTAAAAGAGACAACCCAGAAGTTAATTGTGGCCAGAATTGGGTTCTCTGTTGGCCAAACTGCCATTTAAGTACTCGGGGGTGCGTTGTCGTGTCATAAACTTACGGTTCAACAATGTAAGTCGTTGATAGAGAAGATTACGGCTAGAATTAAGCATTGGACTACCCATATTATGAGTTATGCCGGATAATATCAACTAATTAAAGCATCTTATTCGCGGGTAACATCGTACTGGATGCATATTTTCCCCATGCCTCAAAAGATTGTTAATCACATAGAAGCTTTGTGTAGAATATATCTCTGGAGTAATACAAATGAAGCTAAGAGGAAGGCGCCTATCTCTTGGGATACTATTTGCCATTCAAAAAGTGCAGGGGGGCTCAATATCACGGACCTCAAAGACTGGAATCGGGCCACCATAGGGAAGTTGTTGTGGAATCTTCAGGTGAAAGCGGATAAATTATGGGTGAGATGGATAAATACATATTATCTTAAAAAGAAGGACATTATGAATTGGACGTTGAATAAAAATTGTTCTTGGATAATAAAGAGAATCATCAAATGCATGGATAACTTCAAAAATGTCCAGTATTGGAAAGAGGTTGAGCTTGGGAAAAGGTACGATACGGGAAGCGTGTACAAAGCTATACGAGGTAACTTTGACAAGGTGAATTGGCATAAAATGTTGACTAGTAACTTTGCAAGGACCGAGATCGATCTTCACTCTTTGGATGCTTTTGAACGGTAAACTCCCTACTAAAGATAGGTTAATTCGATTTGGTATGCAGCTTGATCCTAAATGTAGTATGTGTGTCTATGTTGAAACCTTGAACCATATCTTCTTTGAATGCCTCGTTTCCAATGAGATTTGGAAATAAGTACTTCATTGGATGAGTTAAATTAGGAGTTCGTTTGAAATGGAACAAATAAAGAGATTGGATGATCAAGGATTCGAGGAAAAAAGGTTGACCGAGGCAAATTCTGAAAATTGCTTGTGATGAAACCATCTATGAGATTTGGAAGGAAGAAATGAACTTATTTTACCCAAAAGAATATAGAGCTTAATTTAGTTGAAAAATTATTGATAATATCTTATGGAGATGTAATTCGAGTAAATGTGTTAAATACTCATATTAGTATGGGTA